TTGGTTTTGTGTGTTAGGTGTGCACATGTTCTATTCATTTGCCAATCAATGGATTCAAAGCAAATCATTCCTTCGTAAACAAACACAACAGCTGGTAGCTACAGGTGGTTGCTGCAGAGGGGGCAGATATAGAGACGTAATTGACAAGTTGCTAATTCTTCTGCCTCTCCCCACCATTACATTGCCCCATCATCACAACTCTGTCCTTGCACTCCAGCATGCACAGGCCACACACTGGACGTGTGGTCTCACCGTAGGGATATTGTCACATCCTGCATATTGGATAATTTTTTATAAATGTGTCGTAACCCTCCACCACCCAACACGGCCAATCAGTAAAAAAGTGTCACGTTGACAAAAAACAAATAGTTCACTGCTTTAGCCCACCGGTGTGTTGAAGCGTGAAACCACAACATTTTCAATTTGAGTACGACGTTTCGCTGGTAATTGCATCCAGCATCATCGGGCAATAGTGAACTATTTGTCTTTTGTCAACGTGACACTTTTTTACTGATTGGCCGTGTCGGGTGGTGGAGGGTTACGACACATTTATAAATAACGCGATCTAAACCCAAAAACGTTGATTATGAATTATATTGGTCGCGAAAGCCTACGTGTTAAACATGACGAACTGGTCTGAGGGGAGGTTTCAGACTAAGAATGGTTCACACAGAAGAAGGCAATGGCAAACCACTTCTGCTATATTTGCCAAGAAATATAAGGATCGCTGCTTTGGTGCTGGACAGTGGTATTAAGAACGCCATTAGAAAGAATCTTCTGGAAGAATAAGTAAAACGCTAGTGGAGAGAATACACAGAGACACTTTAAGCTAGATGAAAGGATTAACAAAAACATCGATGCATGAAAGTACGAACATGAACCTACTGTGATTGAGTGTGAAGTACGCAAAGAACTGAAGGAGCTTACAGACAACAACGCCCCAGGAGAAGATGGCATACCCATCGAGGATATTAATATACTAACAGTTTTCTGCCAACATATTTGGTCTAGTGGCGAGTGGCATAGAGACTGGAAGCGTTAAGTATATATATCTATACATAAGACGACCCAGATAGTGCTCCAATAACCGTACTATAGCTCTCATATCCCATACCAGCAAGGTTTTTTCGGAAGATTATTCAACATAGAATGCAGATCTATGTAGAAAGAGAACTACCGGATGTTCAAGCAGGCTTCATGAAAAGAAGAGGAACAAGGAACCAAATTGCAAACTTCAGACGGATAATGGAAAGATCAAACGAATACGGGCAACAGCTGTAACTCTGCTTCATTGACTACAGCAAAGCTTTTGATTGGGTGGACAATGAACTGTGGATTACAATTAAGGAAATCAGAATCCCAAGTCATCTTGTGTGCCTGTTATGTAATCTATATGCCAACCAAAAATCAATGGTTAGAACACAATATGGGAAGACACAATAATTTACATTGGAAAAGAAGACATGGCTGTATACTGTATCCTTACCTATTCAATGTGTACAGTGAGCACATTATGCGAAGAATAAACAACTTAAGGTGTGCTGATGATACCATCCTACTAGCAAATAGCCAAGCTGAAATTACGACCCTGTTGATAAATGTTAAAGAAGCTAGTGAGAAGGCTGGACTCTGCCTCAATCTCCAAAAGACGAAAGTGATGGCTACAGAACAACTAAACTAATTTAGTGCGAAAAATGAACCGATCGAAGTTGTGAAAAACTTTGTTGCTGAAGATGGGGAGGTGTCGCCACGAGATCAGAAGGCGGATAGTTCTCGGTAGAACAGCCACGTCACAGCTCAAGAATATATGGAGAGACAAGGGCATTACCATAAACACGAAGAAGAGGCATGTCAACACTCTGGAATTCCCTGTTGCCCTATATGGATGCGAGTCGTGGACGCCGAGATTGAGTGAGATAAAGAGCATTTGACACGTGATGCTGGAGAAGAATGCTAAGTATACCATGGACAGCCAAAATATCAAACATGCCCGTCCTGAGAGAGATCGGTCCCAAACCTGCATTTGAGGCCTTATTCGTAAAGAAAACATTTACATACTTTGGACAAGTTATGAGGACCTCTGGACTAGAGGAATTGGTCTTGCTTGGGAATGGAGAAGGTAGCAGGGGCAAGAGGTCGACCTCGGAGGAGGTGGATGGACGACATCAAGAACACCACTGGCCTTACACTATCCCAGTTGCGAGAGGCAGCGAGAGACAGGTGCGGATGGTGGAGCGGTCGTGGATGTCACCAGAGGTCATACTCGACCACAAGGCACAAGGTGACAAGTTTTCGGAAAAATGGAAGAAATCGGAAAGAGAGGTCAATACATACCAGAGGTCATACTCGACCACAAGGCACAAGGTGACAAGGTTTCGGAAAAATGGAAGGAACCGAAAAGAAAGGTCAATACATACCTGAGGTCATACTCGACCACAAGGCACAAGGTGACAAGGTTTCGGAGAAATGGAAGGAACCGAAAAGAAAGGTCAATACATACCTGAGGTCATACTCGACCACAAGGCACAAGGTGACAAGGTTTCGGAGAAATGTAAGGAACCGAAAAGAGAGGAAGACCTAACAGAGAATAGCTTGACGACATAAGAGATCGGTGCCAGAAAGATGTGCACTACTTGAGCATATTGGCACAAGACAGAGGAAAGTGGAAACAAATGGCGACATGTGCAGTGGACACCAACGGGCTATCTGCCCATAGATCGTGACGAAGATGCAAAGCAAAGTTATGGTGATTTTAAGACATGCACCTCCTCCTCATTTATCCTACAGCACCGCCAATAATATAATTCTCCCCAAAAGAAAAAAGTGCCTATCATTGGCTACAATAAAATAAAAACACTGTAATGCATTAATGCTGAAATCAACAGATTACTTAATCGATAAGCGCAACTGGGAGTACATAAGAGCAATAGTCTGGCTTTGTGAACTGTTATTTACATACATTGTCAATCACAACTTTGCTATGAAGTAATTGTTTATTTTCTTTACAAGGTGTCTCTCACGTCGGTAAAGCGTACGAGATCAGCAACAGCGGCTCAGGGTTGGTTCGCGATGGATTATAATAGTACATTTTACAGAGTATTGTGGGGGGGGAGGGGTGTTTAACAATAATAAATTGCATTGACAAAACAGTGCATTTTTCAGTACGAGTACTGTAATATCCTGACCGCAGATTTACACTAGAATATGCACGTATGTCACGCAAAACAACACTCACAAGTGAACTTATCTGCGTGGTGTAAACCTTGCGCATGGTTTTTTGAAAAATACCTCCTCTCCTGGTCAATAAAAAAAATGAACGCACTCGATGAAGTATTGCTGGTACTTACATATAACCATCGCATAGGCGTATACAGTTTTACAAGCGGTGTTCACAGTAGCGATCGCAATCTGCCCTGGATTTTGTGCTGCATCTGTGCTACAATGCTGAACACTGTCAGCGCTATCCTGCAGTGCTTGACCACTGTGAGCAGAGAATGTAGCGCACTGTTTGTACATCTGGGGCAGCACAAATCACAGGTGCAAGATTTCAAAGTATTCTAAATATTATTTATGCTGTCCTCAACTATCCAAGTATATCTGAAAATATTATCCTGATCTAGTATAATAAATATGCATACTCTAGTCGTCGATGTGTTGATAGTGTTAAAACGTATAATCCAGCATTACTTATTGCAGCGCAACTCATTTTGCATTATTGTGGCCATTATAACTGGGCATTGGTTTGGGTATTTAAAATAAATCCTGCTGTAGCAGTAAGCCGCAACGATGACATTAAAATACCGTATGCACACCCATGCATTGACATTGTATAACACATGCTCACTTTCCTTTGCATAAACTTAAATCAATGCAATGATCTAATTTCATTAAAGTAAATGGTACATGTATTATATCTTCATGAAATAAACATCTTAATTGTGAACATGCTATTCATTTGGCTTTGATGAAATCCTGAAGATGTAAACCGTTTAAGACTGGAGGGAAGCATATGTTCATGTTACACTGCTTTAAAACGAAGGCTTTTGCGACCAATATTATTCATAATAAAGTTTTTGGGTTAGATCACGTAGGTATAAATATGTCATAACCCTCCACCACTCTCCAATCCACCGGTGTGTTGGAGAATAAATCCACAACATTTACAATTTGAGAACTGTGACGTTTCGCTGCTAATTACATCAGCATCATCGGGCAAGTCGCCCGATGATGCTGGATGGTGGGCTGAAGTAGCAACTAATTGGCGCGTTTTGTTTACGTGACAAACCTTACTGGCTATATCGGGTGGTGGAGGATTACGACACATTTATACCTACGTGATCTAACCCAAAAATCTTTATTACGAAAAACACTGCTTTGTACGCACCAACAAATGCTTTTGAACAAAGGTAACAATAACATTTACGAATGCAGCTTGCGGTTAGAGTGCTAAATCCCATATATATAAAGTGCACACTTCCACACGGTCCAACACATTTAGTCTTCCATGTGAGGATTCTTGCGGATAAGATATTAGCAAAGTATAAAACACAAACAGGCCATCCTCATGCATTTGTATTAGCATTATTAAGGGCTTCTTAATAAATACAGATTGGGGGATCACATCCCAACTAAATACAAAATGATCCTGACACTTAAACCCACTCCAGCTCTTTGGGCATGAACTCTGTATTGATGTTAAACTTGGCATGCATATTCAGTCCCATACCTCGCGACCATTCAGTCACTGGGAACACCAATGGAACCTCATTTGCCAGTAAAATATGATAATTGTTTTTTTTACCCTTTTATCTGGCAACAAAACTGACACCTTTTTTTACAAGGAGTGATGTTTGCATTGACCACAATACCTGCAGTCATAATGCAAACAAAAAACACAACTCTGATAATGTATGCACTGTCCTTGAAGTTGATTGGTCCACATCCGAGACAGCTAGTGCACCTTTTGGCGTCATTTGGTCCAACACCATGTGAGACTAGGCTCTAAGGAAAGCTGTCTCGGGTGTGGACCAATCAACTTCAAGGACAGTGCATACATTTTCAGAGTTGTGTTTTTTGTTTGCATTATGACTGCAGGTATTGTGGTCTATGCAAACATGACTCCTTGTAAAAAAAAGGTGTCAGTTTTGTTGCCAGATAAAAGGGTAAAAAAACAATTATCACTGGGAACACTCAAATTGACCGCGGAAATGCGTCAGAAAATCGTGATCTCTTGCTGTGCCCACCAGGAGCCAAGCATAGCAACACGTCGCTCCGCCCCTAGCAACAACTCTGCTCACATGGCCTTCACTTTGATCTGCTTCATCTTCATCTGCTTCTTCTCCTTCTTCTTTTGCTCACGGCGAATCTGCACCTCCTAGAAAGTAAACAGAAATGAGAGGCCAAACAGTTCATCAACGACAGCAACCACTATTTGTATTTGCAGAGCACTTCAGTGCAACTGCATCTCAAGACCTCATACAGAAACCACAAGAGAATGGACAGATTATAAAACGGAAAAAATAGTTCCTGGGCCGGGATTGTGGCAGGCCCTTGCGTTCAATTCACTTGAATTAGCTCAGTTGCAGATGAAAACACCCACGTTGATGCGTAGACACAAGCAACGGTAGTCGTGGGTGCAATGGCTTTACCATGTGCCACCATGGTGCCAGGCGACAGGCGGGGTCCATTACTACTGTCCAGACTGAATTCACAGCAGCACACACACCCAATCACAGGAACACACACACCTACCCATAGGCACATCTCCACAAGAATACAAAGACAAAATGCAAAGATCCCCCATAGAACTGTCAACAGACTGTTAGGACATGTTCTGTTAGCAAGCACCTATTGAGGCCAGCACGATACGTGAGTGGTTGGTTGGCCAGCACCATGCCTGGCAACCTTTGTCTCCCCAGGGCTGATGTTTACACACTGCACTAGGGTACTCATTTAAGGCTGCATCAACCTAGGAGAGGCCCAGACCCGGTGTTGGCTGTAAGCGGGAATCCAACTCGGGTCATTGGGTTCACAGAGCAGCACGCTAACCACGACGCTACCGCTCCCCCATGCACGCACACAAACACACACTCAGCCACATGCACACACCCATAGGAACACGCTCAGCACGCACGGCACCTCCAGCTTGCGCTGACGCTCGGGGTCCTCCTCGTTCATGATGCGCTCCTTCTCGGCGCGCTTCTTCTCCTCGCGGCGGCTCTGCGCCGCCTCCTGTCTCTGCGCGTGCGTCAGCTTCAGGAAGTTCTCCTCCACGCGCGTTCGGTTGCGCTCCGCCTTCTGCTTGGCCTAATAGGAGGAGGCAGAAGCACGCACACATATTAAGGGTGTCCCCATCATAAACACCAAATGGCATTGCAATAGAATGTACATTTACGTAGCGTTTCAAGATGCTGTATAGAAAAAGCAGGAATTTTATTTGGCAGAGTGGGGCAGTCAGTCATAGCCAGGGAAAACAGTAAGGTTTTGAGCCTGGACTTGAACAGGGGCAGAGTTCCTGACAATGATGGCAGCAGAGGAGATTGAGCGACCGCCCACTGAGTGAAGATGGACTGGGGGCTTCAACCAAAATCCTTGGTTTTTGGAGCAAAAAGTACCTTCGGAAGAGTAGAGGGAGGTAGGCAGGGGCAATTTCACGAATGATCTTAAAGGCAGTGAGTGCGCTATTGAAATCAACCGGGGATTAGATTGGGAGCCAGTGGAGTTATTGGAGTATTGGGATATTGTGGCCTCTTTTGGCAGATGCAGGCATGTGGTCTGGCAGTGGCATTTTGGATCCATCGAGTTTTGAGATGAGGAATTTTGGAGAGAACATAACACTCAGAATGCAATACAGCAAGTGATGCTCACCCACAGCCCTACTGCCCCACAGAAATGTTAGCCTGAACCTAGCCTCACTTATAGCTTCTGTACCATGCATCCCACCCCTCCACTACTGCACTGCTCACCTCTTTGCCGAGCCGGAACCTTTTCATCTTGTCCATGCAGTAGATGACCATCTTCATGAGACCCAGCATGCCCTCCATGTCTCGCGGGGATGTGTGGCCTGCTCCAGGCACTGGCAGACATGTGCACACACTCATCATGTACACAGAGTAGTCCTTGCTTGAACAATAGACACATACATAATTTATGGGTGCACGTTGATACTGGCATATAAAGGAAATTGTGGCATAGACATTGTATTTGCTAATTATACATGTAATATATTTAATGTTCAATGGAAACAATTGTTTTTGTACCAAGCATTACGTTGGCAAACTTTTGTTTATGGCAATCCATGCCCATAAAATTACAAGTATCGGATGTATGCATTTCCTTGCAAGTTTTGTTTCTAGCTGTGGAGCATGCAGCATTTGAACATGCATTCATACTTCGATTTTTGCTCCACAAATCATACGGAGGGTTCCAGTGCCCTATAACTAAAGTTGCAACTCACCATTAAATGTAAACAACAAACACTTTTTTGCATCAGGGAGCTTTATGGGCTGGCCCTCCCTAGAGAGACACAAAGCACACAAACTTTACCACACAAACCCATCGCAGCACTTTCCCTAAATACAGCATTTACAGAAAACCACATTTTCCATGAGGAATAATACTTCACTAATAGGGTTTTTACCCTTTTTTCTGGCAACAAAAACTGACACCTCTTGCAAGAAATCATGCTTACATTAACCACAATACTCGCAGTCAAATGCAAAAAAGCAATACTCTGATAATTGTTTTTTTTTGCATTTGACTGCGAGTATTGTGGTTAATGTAAGCATGATTCCTTGCAGAAGGTGTCTGTTTTTGTTGCCAGAAAAAAAGGGAAAAACCCTATTAGTATATTTTGGTACTGGCAAAGGAGGTCCAATGATGAAATAATATTTAAATTAAGATCCATTATCTAAGAATAATATGACTTGATACGTGAATTTGTTGATAAATTACATGTAAATGTTTTCTGTAATTCTGATAATTTTAAGCTATAGAATATAATCTAGCTAGCACGTGGGTAACTGAATGCATGAAGTTGTATATACTGTATGAATGAATGAAGACTCACTCCTGGGTGACCTTGGGCCCTGAGTGTTGGTCGGACATGTGGATGGACTCGATGGTGTCGACATGCGCCTTCAGAAAGCTGATCATCTGCAAACAAAAATTACCCAAACAAAAATGCGACTTGTGGTTTTGGTTTTTTCACATCTTAGGCGGTGTTCCTGATATGCCGGGGCTCATCTTTCAAGGAAAGAAACTGTAGATTTTTTCAACACAATTTAAAAAAAACGTGCATAACGTGCAGAGATCTGCATTTAAAAAAACATTCCTCTACTTTATTGACACATACAGGATCGTATCAGAAAGAGTTGTCTTGGAAATCCGCTCCATGGCACTGGATCACAATCGTGTGCAACTGCAAATAAAATTAGGCTTTTAATATCTACATTACAGTGTACTACTATGCCCTTCAATAGCTCAGCAGTAAGCCTGTGTGGAGCCATGCACAGTTTTTGGCACAGTTGATATATCTACGACTCATCTCTGCCAGTTAGCCATAACACCTTGGTCTGTCCCATGACCTCATGCCAGCGAGCCTTAGACACCTCACGTGGCCTAAAAGTGCACCTAGCCTGGCACGGGCGTTGTGGTAACATCACCGTCGCTTAGTAGAGAGTGGTAGATGTTGTTGATGCTAGGGCCGTGCATCACCTTGGGGTCCAAAAGGCAGTCAGTGATCTCAGAACTTTCGCTGAGCACCACTAGTGAGTCAGGCAGCCCGTAGCGGCCCAGAGGCTTGGGTTTGTCCGTGCAGTACAAGCTCTAGCAATGGGCAAGCGTGAGCACAAAAGAAGGTGAACTAGAGGTCAGAGCTCCTGCACAGTGAATCATCATCAGCAGCCATGATGAACCCACTGCTGGATGAAGACCTCAAGCCATCCCCATTTCTCACGGTCTTGCAATGTAACAATCCATCTAGCAGCTCCACACGAGTATATTTGATCACTTAATCTCTGCAGTGGACGAACTATTGGGCGCAGTCCCCTCCTTGGTTGCAACTCCATAGTTATCTCTCAACCATCAGCCATTATCTATTTTATTAATGTGTTCTGCGCAAGGCCACTTGTTTTTATGAAGTAAAAATATTGTTTTAACCCGGTTTTTAATCCGCGTATGTTATCATGTTCCCCTTTCTATCTCTTTGTAATTCCAAGCACATCCATATCTCACACATGTCTCTTCCACCACCAAGAGGCACACACATATTGAAAAGTCAATATTTAGTTGTCATAAAATAATACATTAAATTACAGCTGCAAAAACGTAGTAGCCAAACACATATACTTATTAATTTTGTCTGCCAGAAACCCAACACTGCTTTCACTCGGTAATGCAAACATTCTCCATGCAGCATGTATCCACAAGCATGAGCTGGATTTTTTACAAATGTAGTCATAATTCCTGGGGTCCAAGTAGATGCACCTGCTCACTGTGACAATGCAAACAACTATATGCAATACATATAACGACGGCAAAACACCACGAGTACAACATAATATTGCTTTTGTAATCGGCATGAGGAGACGGGGTGGCAGAATTGCCAAGTTTATAGCTGTCGTTAGCATAACCACATTGCACAAACACACAATGCTCCGTGCCTGCATGAGGCATCCTGTTTACAAATGCAAACATGCACTGCAGTCATATTTACAAGCAGAACATTACATACCAGGTCCTGCATCTCCTTGTGTAGCCGGCTGACAGCCTTCTTCGTCCCCACAGCAAACACCATGCTGTCCATGTCATCGATGGTCATTGTTACCTTGATGTTCTACAGGAAAGCACAACATTCAGGTGAATTTCCAACGGATGGGCAGTCGATACGTCAGAGAGCGGCGAATAAATGGGTGCCTGAGCAACGGGCGGCAACGTCGTGAAAACACGATTGCTGCAAGAACCCAACATCCACGACCCTGGGCAGTACGTACCACTTGATCTGATGTGGGCCTCATCGTGCGAGCCAGCACGTTCAGCAGATCCTGACGCTTGAGGAACTGTGTGCACACCCAACGCATGGCAATACAACATGACAACGCGTCACATGTGAGATGTATGCAGTCCTCACGTGTTATGCTTGTTTGTTTGTTTTCACTTGATGAATAGCTTATCACCTCAATGACCAGACCGTGTTAAGTGTGCTTCATTGGCTGGATCTTCTTCAGTTTTCTTAGGGTAAAACAAAATCAATAAAATGTGTCTTTGTTTAAAAAAAACATCCTAATTGTTTTATTTTACGCCTTAAATGTTGCCCTTCGATACATTCGTCAGCTGAATAAAAAAAACTGAAATTATTTGTTGGGCTCTGCAGCGTAGTTACATTTTGCTTATGCATGGCTAGAGCTTGAAAACTTTGAAGGTGATTATAACTGAGAGGTAGACAAGATGACACTGTAGTAATATCAAACCCAAAGCAAGCCCTTCACAGTGAATGTGAGAAAATGTAAATGTATAAAATCTTTCTTAATGGGTCAAGTGACACTTTTATGAGACATTAAATGCGTTGTCAGATTGTCACTTTCAGTACTATGTACGTACAAGCAAACAGCGAGCAGCGGCCAGTGGCACACCTATCGAGTACGCAGACGGTGCCACTGCACCGGGGCCCATGGGCCGGAGGGGCTCAGACACCAGGTTACGAAGAGAGGGGGGAGGGGTGAAAGGTCTAACGGGGCCCATATTGTATTTCTTGCACCAGGGTTCGTGCCGACCACACAAAGCCAGTGACAGCAGCTCACCTTGAGTTGCACCAGCATGCCCTCGCAGCACACGCGACCCGAGCACCACAGACTGTACACGTGCTCGTTCTCCTGGTTCAGCGCACCAGTGCTCATCACTTCCTTGGCTGTGCCATCGTCACCTGCAATAAGGGACTCGTCATATTCACATCACTTTGTCGATCAAGTGGTGGATGAAGGCCTCCCTGCACTCTGTCGGCTGGAGGGGTTGTTTGACAATATTTGACTATACTGGTCAGTGTGGGTTGGTGATGGTGGGGAAGGATGAGGCAGGATTTGTTCCGATATCTGATGTTAGCCATGGCTGGGAATCAAACACAGAGATCCATGTTCGTAGCACAGTGTGCTATCAACTACACGACTGCTCAACCTGATGACTCATTGCTATGACTTATTCATAGGTAAAGGACAGGTACAATTGTTTGCAAGATATATTAAAACTATGCCAATTCACAATAATTGCTGTTGTGTGGAATAGTCACCATGGAACAATACATTGAATCACTTATTGTCTTTATGAACTAATAGTTTTTTGTATTCTTGTGTTTTGTGTGGTTCACATCATTCTTGAAACCACAAGAAATGCTAAATGTACTGCACCATTATGAAATATTGTGCATTTTTAAGTGGAATTGTGATCATATATCATGATAATTTATGAAAAATTTGGGGGAGTTATATATTATATGCATGTCGTCTATGTAATATATATGACTTTAAATCACATAAACATTACTCAAGTGTGAAATTTTACGGTCATTTTACAAAAAGTGCTTTACAATATTCTAGGGAATATACATTTCCACAATGCGTGATATATGTGTAGACTTTCGACATGTAACATGACTGTGGTCACAGTATAGGGGTCATTTAAATACTATTAGACCATCAACTTGAAGACCCATTAAGTATGTAACAAATACAGTTCGCTTAGGCTAAAACGTGGATACTGTATGAAATGTGGATACTGTATTTATCAAATACAATGTTATATATGGCAACAAAATCATTACAAATTCTGATCAAGTGTAAACCAACCACTGGCTTAGGCTCAGCACTACAAATTAAATACACAATTTCATTACACGGTGAAATTAAAAATGACCAAATACAGTTGTGAAATTCAAGTACTGCTGAGAGGGAATGAAATCCGCAGACAAGTCCATTCAGCGTTATGCGATATTTGCTTAGCTGATGAAAAAGCTGACTCTGTATGCGATGCTTTACTAAGCGCAAGCGAGTTCAGTGTACTTTTAATATAGTGGCGCTTAATGTTACACGCGGAAGAAACACGAGTCCGGCAAACGAGATGGCATACCCACGAGGCAGAAGTTTGCCTCCAGCAGCTCGCGGTGCGAGTTGAACCAGGCCTGTGCAAGGCGGCTGTTCTTGGTGCGGCCGATCATGTAGTTCACGATGTAGGCGAGCAGCCCCGTGACCATGAGGATCTCCAGGTAATAGCTCTCCCATCCGTTCTGCAAATGGTCTGGCACCTGAGCACAGGACCGCCGACGCCACATGTTACAAGAGTGTCTGCCTCAGTCTAAAAACGTAATGTAAGATTAAATTGTGTTTATTCCTGCTGGCTGACGAGGTTAGATATATGCTATATCGATATGTTATGTAACATTGATTAATCTGCTGAAAGTTGTATTCATTAATCAATGCAGGTAATTTTAAATGATGACAGAATTACAAAGAAGCTGTTGTCACACGTCAACCACAACAAGTATAACCCGTAAAAACAAAGTTTTTCACTATAAATCCTTTATATGCGTGGCGGCTACAGTCCTCTCGTCCTCTGGCTTGAGATGGCTGCCACCTATGGGTCAGATGATTGCATGGCACCATTAAGCAATTGGTAATTAAATATAATATTTTTGTCCTAAAAAGTGTAAAATTTTGGACATTTTTTTTCACGAACATTAATTGTCACGCACAACGAGTCTGTGTGGAAAATGTCAGCTCGATTGGATCACGGGAAGTGGGTTAAAAAACGACCGAAAGATTTGCACGGTCCTAAGCAAGCAAGCAAGTGAACTTAATATAAAGGATTTAAAAAACGATGAACACAGCCAAGGGTTCATTAAGCCCACAACATCGTACCTCTTAGCCAGCATTACTCACCACTACAATGCGAATCGGAGTGTCAATGCTGTGCTTCTTCCTGCCAGACTTGTCCCTGATCCCTTCAAACTCCTCCTCGTCAAACTGTTCAACATCATCCTAACAGTCGCACGCAAATAAACGTGCAGACGCACACCCGCATACACAGGCATGAAGACCCTCACTTCGTGGACAAATAAGATGTATGTATAAATATATGTACGCTTGCAACTATTAGGAAGTGTGCATATTTTAAAAAGCAAGCTGCAACAATTGCATTTACAGTGGCACACACACACATACAAGTGGACACAAAAAATATCTATTATTGAGCAGTGCGCAAATAAAACAGTTGTTTGCATGTTAATCAATGCATTCGGAAATAGATTTGTGTTACACGGGGAGAATGGGGCCATGTTGTGCTTGTTTGCCTCTGGCTAAGACCTCGTCAGGATTATCGGAATCTTCAAAGTCATCCGCAGCCTCTCCGTTCACTTCATCGTCCTCATCCGAGACCTCTCCATCATCGTCCTCGTCATCATCAGCGGCCCCTGTCGGACGGGCTGCCCTCTCCGCGCTTGGCCGTGCGTCCTCCCACGGTGCGTGGCTCTTGATGGGGGGTGCTGGGGTACGTCCCACCCCAGACTCCGGGAAGAAGCCATCCTCGTCTTCACCAAAGTCTTCAAACTCTGCAAAATCGTCCTCATCTCTGTCACGGCCGCCATCGTCATCGTTGTGGTCGTACTGAAAGTGGAGGCTCCCACGTGCCGGACGGCTCCCGAGAACCAACAGGGCAGCAAGGGGCACAGCCAGCTCCAGCAGAGTGTCCATCCGCATGGCACTGGTGGGGAGAGGTGGGGAGGCAGGGAGGGAGGCAGGGAGGCAGGGAGCCTAGGCAAGATAGAGGTAGAGAGGCAGGGAGGGAGATGGGGAGACGGGAAGCCAGAGAAGTTGGGATGCAGGAATACAGGGAGGCAGATAGACTGGGAAAGGAAGAGGGTAAGGGGACACATGCAATCCGATATTGGAATTGGCCACACAACAGCTGCACCACAACAAAAATTGTTAGAGGGTACTTCTAAAACCTTGGGATTTGGATCACCATCATTCAGTTACATGCTTCTGTGAACGACTGTCAAGTATTGTTTAACGTCCACTTTAAACCAGACTATGCTGTTGTGGTTTGAGTGGTAAGCATACTAATTAGTAGGCTACCAACCAGTTTAACACAATTCAATTATACACGTTTATAAATATTCAACATTTAGGTAATGAATGGGTCGGCTGCTTTTACAATATGCATAACTAGTTAATTTGAAAACCGATTACAATAAATTAATAATCAACATCAAGTGTTATTGGTTCAAAAGTTCTCAACCATGTCACGCCATTAATCGCCGGCATTTATCATTCTCTTGAACTTTCCCCAGGCTGGTACATTCCTTCACATCCCCAAAAGTGTTCTGGAACACCTTCACCATTTTATTCTCTTTTCACGTGGCCTGCCAAAGCTAGATTTATCATACTGCAAATTATGAGGACCGGATACATCCATTAACGTATCCAACTTTTCATCGTTCCTTCGCAAGTTCTTCATTCACACACTTCTATTCCCATGAGTTGTTTTAATGAGCATGTCACCATCACATTTCGGACGGCCAACGTTCTCTAAATGTTCAAACGTAACCTATTATTTCTCCAACCCATGTCTGATCACGACAATGATGATCCATTTATATATATCCATCCTTGCGGCACAATTCGGTTTCACGAGCACTGGGGTTGCCTGCTCAGCTCCCCCCACGCCTCCTCCTTCCTCCGGTCTGTGCCTCCCTCATCCCCAACCCCCCACATCATCAGCAGCAGCAGCGGCTATCATCGAAATGTGCGACAATGTTCGTGCTTGGTAGTGGCGTGCCCTGAGACCACTACAGAAGAGCACTCCGATGCACCCCCGTGAGACATTTCCATTTTTGCCATCACCATCAGCACCGGCAGCAGACAAACTGACGACCCCCAACACTGCAACCCCATCCCACCACCACCACCGCTTCAGCCTCAACGCCACCACGCACTGCAAATGCCACCACGCACTGCAAATGCCACATGCGCACGCCACAGTCCATCACGCGAGCATGTTACCGTGCGGCTGCAGCTAAAGGAATTGTACATTTCGCTCACCTCCGCGGGTTTTTTCTTCTTCCATATAATTCGGTCCAGCCCGCGTGAGATGCGTCGTCTGGGCTATTAAATACGAGACGCGTTCGACTGCCCGACCACCGCAGCGTTGCGTTCCCATGAGCGGATAAGCTTGGGCCAGCGGCATCCGCTAAGGGGCGCTACTACACAGCCGTGTGCGTTGTGTGTGGCAATCAGAGCCCTCGAAAATTCATGAAACAAATTGGGACGCACCAGATTTCAGCTCGAATTCCGACGTCTCCACACTCCACCGCGTTTTCGTTTTTGTCTCATCTTCATGTCACATCTCTCATCTCACGCGTGTCTTACATTTCTCAATCTCTAGCTTTTGTCAACATCTCCTATGTCAACCCAGGAGGAATACATCATCCAATGAGCACACCCCCCCCCACCCAAGAGATACATACTTAGGGCCCCCTCCCCAATGGGACAACACCAACACGACCGGACATCTGTGAAAAAGAGCTTCACGGATTATCGGATTTCTCCAGGATGAATATTATTGGTTCTCGCCAAACCTTGCGGGGCGAATGTGAGCCGGTGGGGAGCGGGTGAATCGACACTTGGGTAATCGCATATTCGACTCCCGCGAGACCGATTAAAACGTGCCGACTCCGCATTGCAGGTGAATCTGTAGATAATCGAGATTCGATTATGCGCGGATCTAATTAGAATAGTGAGCACACACTGTCTCTTGACTTATAAAAGCTTTCGAGACTGCAGGCATTTTTATTCTTTGGGTCTTTCAGTAAAGTCACGTAGATAGGTTCAAAGAAAATAACAAAACAAACTACGACGTTTCGATCACAACACAAGCGATCGTCATCAGGAGGAAAAACATCTCAAAGTATGTTTCTACGCATGCCATCGGCCCCCACGACCTTCTGGATGCGCATCATTTCAGCAGCAGTGATTAAAGACAAGCAAACTCAGGATCAGGCTTGCTGGGGAACTGAATCCTAGTTCAATAATTATCTAATTGGCACAAAATATCCCAAGTCAAAACGTCTTGGTTCCACCAGAGGTCCACTATACACCCACTCTCCACCCTGTGCCCTAATTTTCACAATGCACTCCCCATGCATCATTACCAGAGATTCAAGTCGCTTATTTCGTCTCCTAATAATGATTGACAGCCCTTTGTCGCTATCCACTGTGAAGAACAGACCTCACAGCGTCTCGATCACTGGGCTTGATCGGCTCTACCTCACCACGCTGATCAATACGGGTTGAAAGGTGGGTGAGGGATGAGAACCGGTGCATATATAATTTACAACTTGTTGGACATGGCTTGGAATCTTACTCAGGATAAATACCAAATAAATTGTCAGGCTACATATAAGAATAATATGAAACGTATCGTGCTGAATTAGTGAGAGTAAGTCTAGTTTCACAGTCCTGTTGTAATCCCACTGTTGAAATGAAGGCAAATCCACGCCGTGTAGATGGTGGGGGTTGCATTCTTTATTCTGGTCTGTACGGGAGTGGTGCAAGGTTGGCTCAGAACCTGCTCCTGATATCTCTCGATGTGATTTCATTGTTTCGCCGTCTCCTGGAATCGAACTCAACGAGGTTCGTTTACGCAGTGCACGAAAGCGACTGCGCCAAACCATCCCCGCCCATGCCGAGTGCCGTGTTCCTCACTGGAAAAGTCTAAGTAGCGGTGGTGTTGTTATTTTTAATTCGGTGTCAGACGAATGTCACCGTAGAAGGGCACTTTGGCCGGCGCGCACGTGGCTTTGCAGACCTCCACGTGGCGCTGGGATCGCGTCACGTGACGGCCCCCTGCGTCACGTGACGACGCCCTGCGTCACGCGAGAAGCGTCACGTGGACCCGCAGTACAGTGCGTACAGTAAGGGGGAGTGTGGTGGTGGTGGTGGCTGCGTGAAACGCGCGTGCGTTCGGCTGTCAATGTCAGTGCTGGGGCAAAGTGCTCAGTTGGTGTTTCCCGTCCGAGTTGCGATTACAGAATAGATTAAGAGGGCCCCCTGGGCAGGGGTCAGATGTCCAGGCAGCCTTAATGTCAGGAGTTGACAACAGCCCGTAACAGCCCTCACAACCTGGAACGGGTAAAACTGCGCATCTGACAGCTTGTCCATGGCATAAGCCTACGCTTAGAATGCGCTCTCTGCCGTGCTTACATGACTGTCATACATTGCGGTCCCTTCATGCGCATGTCGCCCTTCTCTCAATGCTTGCTTTGCTGTCTCCCGCACGTTGCTAAATTCACGTCTCCCATGCTGACGTTCACATTCATCCGTGCACAGCTGTCCCTCCTCCATGCCTCTTTTTATGGGCTCCCACACATTGCAGTTCCTCGTACAGTGGTCTCCCTGTGGCCTTTGCGTTTCTGTTGTGCTTCGTCAATGCCCGCATTGCTGTGTCCCGTGCTAGCATTGCTGCCCCTTTACTTACAGTGCCATCCCTGTTATGTTTGTATAAACATTCCAGGCTTACATTGCTGCCCCTAAATTATTAAATTGCTCTACCAATTGCCTACAGTGCTGTCCCTCTGCACATGTCTTCTCCAACGCGTACAATGCTGGCTCTCCGTGCATTAATGTCTCCGATACGTATATTCCTGTCTCCCCCCACGATTATTACATTGCCGTCCCTCGACACATTAGTCTCCCCGAGCTCAGTGCTATCCCACTTGCTTTGTTGTCCTCGCCATAGTTCAACACATCCCTGCGGAGGGAGCTGGTAGGAACGTTGGGTTGCTCGGTCAATGGCCAGGGTCAACGGCGGCGTGGTGTATTCCGCAAATATGCCCAACTGTGAGGGTGGGCACAAGCCGGCGTGAGTAGGTTAAACGTTGAGTTTTATAAGGGCACCACGGGGTGACCAGCCCCTCCCCACCCAGCCCCACCCAGCCCCTCCCCACCCTCCCCACCCAGCCCCTCCCTGCACGACGGACGGACAAAATAATCCCCTGTGGGCTGGTGTAACCAGGAGGTTACTACCAGTATAACCCTGCTAGTGCCCCATGCTGACACTGCTACTCAGCTTTTATAACTGGTCAAAAATGCACATTGCTGCTGCCTCCATGCTTGGCCAGATTTTTTTTTGAATGTTTAGCCTTGATTCAAATCATTGCTAAATATAAGCCACCTATGCCGTATTAGTCATTGTGGTTGTTTTTTTTACCACACTTTGCCATACTAGTCGGTGCGGCTTGGTGAAGCGGGGGGGAGGCCCATGACCGGTTGAGATATCGCCACTGATGTTACTCTTGGCCGAGCATCAAACGCGTGTCATTAGATTCATAGCACAGTGTGCTAACCAGAGCACCACCGCTCCACCCCATTCTGCATTTATAAAAAAAAATTATTTCTCATTACAGCTCAGCCACCGCCACCACGGGCAAAGGAGGTGGTGAGACATCCTGCACCGTATTTTCCCACGAGGGAAGAGGGTGACTGACGGCCCTGCGCGATGCCGCTGTCGGACTTCATATCCGCCCTCAAGGACAACCCGTACTTCAGCGCGGGCTTTGGGTTGGTCGGGGTGGGCACAGCGCTGGCTGTGGCGCGGAAAGGCGGGCAGGCGGCGGCCGTGGCGTTCCGGCGCCACTGTGTGACCACACTGGAGGTGTCAAGCCGGGACAAGAGCTATCACTGGCTTTTGAGCTGGGTGACGCACCATGCGGAACACACGCAGCACTTGAGCGTGGAGACCACCTTCTTGCAGCACGAGAGCGGCCGCGTGGCCACCCACTTCGACTTCGTGCCCAGCCCTGGGACCCACGTCATCTGGTGCGAGGGTGCTCATCCACCGGAGGAATTGCTCACGTCTCCACCACACACACACACACACCTGGCGCGTTTTCGAGGGACACCGAAAGAAGCGTAAATGCCATTTTTAATAACTGCACGTGGTTCACCCCGTGTGTGTACTGTGGCCAGGTACAAGATGAACTTGATCCGGATCGAGCGGAACCGAGAGAAGCAGATGTTGGATCTCAACACGGGTATTCCCTTTGAAACTGTGACGTTCACCTCCTTCGGACGAAATCGGCAGCTCTACTTCAGCATCCTCAATGAAGGTGATCAGATGTTTCCTACCAAAGACAACTTCACTTCTTGAATTGGACGTCTGGCCAATAGTTTGAGTACACTGTGCAGTGCCCTGTAAACTATGCCCCTTAATGATATTTACTTTGTTGTATGTTAATATGAAATGTGAATATGAAAACATTTCAATATACATATTAACAGGGCATATATAAATAGGGCTTAAACGCTCACTCAATATGTTCTGGATTACTGATAGACTGGAGTTGGCCTGTGATTGGTATCCACAGCCTTAGCAAGATGTACACTAGATTAACTGTGCAGGGTGCGGAAATATTTTTCAGGATGCCAACTCACAGAGACTCGGCTAAAGTGAAGTCCTGCATGCTTTTCAATCTTAGCTGACATTATAATCAGTCCACTGCTGCATGAGGGCCTCTAAGCCATCGCCGTCACGGTCATGTGATGTAACAATCCACCTAGCACCTGCACATGAGCTGTTCTCATTGCTTCATATCTGCAGTGGGCGTCTTTTTGGGTGTAAGCTGGAAAAGTCTAAGTAGCGGTGGTTAATATGGTGGGTGAAATAAGGTGTGTGCACGTGTGTTGATGTGCTCTAATGCAGCACGGGAGTTGGCACTGAGGCAGGAGGAGGGCAAGACGGTGATGTACACGGCCATGGGCGCCGAGTGGCGGCCGTTTGGGTTCCCGCGCCGACGCCGCCCACTCAATTCTGTGGTGCTGCACGATGGGGTCGCTGACAAGATCAAGCAAGACGTGCATGAATTCATCAGCAACCCCAAGTGGTACTTGGATCGTGGTATGCAAGCCTCCTTGTGTGCTTTACATTGGTATTTTATTTTATTGGCATTCTCACCTGCACCCATAAACGGTACCACATCAACTTAATCACTCCACTGGCTTCAATCCAATCCCAATTAATTTTCAAGATCGCACTCATTGTTTTCAATATCCTGCATGGACTTTCCCCTGCCCTTTTAATCTCGCGCTACTCCTCAACACGCTGTCGAATCAAGTGACCGAGCCTTTATTTGGAAGCCCCCAGTCAACCTTTGATCAGTGAGAGGTTCATATTTCTCCACTGCTGCCTGCATTGTCTGGAACTCATTGTTGACTCTGCCCCTATTGAAGTACAGTACAACCCCAACAATTGATTTCCTCGGAACGCCTTTATCTACAAAATAAATATGCTCACAGTTTCTGTATAGTGTCTTGAGATGTGGTCTCGTTCAACCTATACATTAATACAAATTGTATTGAAAAACAATTCTACGAATTAATTGTACATTATTGGCAGTATGTAAAGACTTTTTTGTCTCTTGTGTACAGGCATCCCCTACCGCCGAGGCTATCTGCTTTATGGGCCACCAGGCTGTGGCAAGAGCAGCTTCATGTGAGCTCCAAAACTCACGGATGCTGCATAGACATCACATTCAAGCTGGCGTATATTGCACTGCATTAATTTTGTGAAGGCATTATATTAAATACAGTCACCTCCACTTGTGTATTTCCTATGTAAAATGCAATTTGGTGTTATGCAAAAAGTTACTGGTAACTTTCTTCATGTTAATGAGTGAGCATGTCAGTGATGAATTAAAATTGTATCTTATTGTTGGGATATATGCATAAAATAAAACCTGAAAGATGTAATGAGTTAGTACTTATGCAAAATATATATATAATTGTTACCTTGAGGCTAATGAAGCAAAGGGAACAGATTAAATGATGGCGATTAAATCCGTGTGTGAATAAATCACCCCGAATGTGCCCCATCTACAAATGTTAAGACGCTAACCAGGCTTGATCCTGGATAGTGCTTTGCTGAATCACCACTATGCATATAATTAATACATGTCATAATCTGCTGTGTGGCTGTGCTACATTATCAGCAGAGGGGAGTACAGCAGATTCCATGTATATACTGTACCATGCTATGCCATCTATGTTCCCACCTTCAAATAACCCTCACTTTATGCACAGCATCAGGAGGGCCTCATCCAGAAGTGGATTGAAAGGACTGAAAATTGTGATCACATGCAAATATTATCTGGATGCTAATGGAATGAACCAGATGGAATAAACCTGTCTCTTGGTCAGTGCCCCTTTGATGTGTACTGTCGATCTGCAGCACAGCACTGGCTGGCAAGCTCGAGTACAGCATCTGCCTTCTGAGCCTGAGCGACCGTAGCCTCTCGGACGACCGACTCAACCACCTGCTGAGCGTCGCTCCACAGCAGACGCTCATTCTGCTGGAGGATGTCGACGCAGCCTTCGTCAGTCGAGAAACGTCGACTGAAAGTACGAATGTCCAGTAACTTCCAAACAAAAAAGGCAAAGGTCACCTATATAGCCTACACAGACAGGGAAAGTGCTGTTAATGTGCACATATTAAGACTGGGATGGGGCACGAGGAAGTGGTGTGGCCAGAACCATGCCAGGCCGCCTTTGTCTCCCCAGTGCTGATGTTTAACTAGATTGTTTGGTGGGCATGGGTACGAATTTTATCTCAGATTTACAGATAGTCTGCTGTGGAAACAGTATTAAATGATTACTCAATATAAATTGTATTCCAAAACTTCACGTGGGTAGTAATTAAAGTTTTTTTTTCACTGAGAACAAATGTGCAAAATTGAACTACGTTTCCTGTGTACCTCTGACGTCCAAACAACCTGGCATCCCTCATGACTTCTTTTTGCAGATCCTTCAGCTTACCAGGGACTGGGGCGTCTCACCTTCAGTGGACTTCTTAATGCGCTGGATGGAGTGGCGTCCACTGAGGCCCGCATCGTCTTCATGACCACAAACCACATCGACAGGTAGGAGATTTGACTACACATGTCTTCTGCTAAGGTTTAAATCTGTATCCCCTGTGATTTTTAATAACGTTTATTTTCAGTGTCAATTTATAAACTAAATTTATGTATATATATTTGTAATAGAGCAATGGTATTTATTCACAAATAAGAAAAATCATATGTACATACATTATTTAACTCTGTCCTCATTCAAGCCAGCATGAGGTGACGTTATATGTGATATGACATGCGATATCAGGAGATAACATCACACATAAGGAGAGTTATCGGAAGGAGGCAAGTACATACTGTGTGACATCATCTTGTCTGAAAAGGATTTTATTTAATATTTTGTGTTTTGTTATCACCACATTTTACATAACCCTTTGATCAATTTGTCCAGTTTTCTAAACGAAACGTCCCTAATAGCAATACATTCTTAATTTGAACATTGAATAAAAAAATTATTTTTCCGAATGTTATACTTAAGTCCTCACTATGGACAGAAACAGGCCAGAGCTAATGTATTGACACTTTCAACCTTTTTTCGTGAAACATTGATAGAACAACTACCGATCTGCACAGAGAAGCACAAAATAGCTACTTTCTCCCTGTCACTTCATGGATTTCCCTGTATTTCAGGCTGGATCCAGCCCTGATCCGCCCTGGACGCGTGGATTTCAAGCAGTATGTGGGCTACTGCTCGTCCTGGCAGCTGGAACAGATGTTCCTTCGCTTCTACCCGGACGAACCAATCGAAGCAGCACGTAACTTCGCGGGCGCGCTTGCTGATCTGGCAGTGAAGATGACCGGGAATACTGAGTCGCTGCAGCTGAGTCCAGCACAAGTGCAGGGGCATTTCATGCTGTACAAAATGGACCCACAGGGTGCCATTTGTAATGTTGGCGACCTCGCAAAGTGATTACCGGGTTGACCCACGGGGCCACAAAAACTCTGCTGACACGTGACAAGCATGCAGCCTGCAGCTTCGATAACTATCACTCTACGAAGGTGCCATGAGAAGAGGATGGTGGACGGAGGCTTGTTATCTTCTTCACTTACTAGAATTGTCAAGGGAAGAGGTTGATTGTGAATGAGGAGCAGCACGCATCGACCAGCTCAGGATAATTGTTCTGCCAGTGGGCTGCATAGACCAAGATTGTTGTTGTGTTTTTACAAACAATATTAAAATGAAGGTTTTCACGTGGAAGTCGCAATGCAGTGATTTGGAGAATTACAGGTGAACTTAAATTGCTTGATGGACTTTATTTTGATATAATAACGTATATTTATTGTTCATTTGTCATTGATATTCAGGAATAAAAACATGAGACTCGCCTGTGACGAATAATTGTTCTTTTTATAGGCTATTTACGATGTTTTTTTGTACTAAATCTATTTGCTGTGTATATTTGTTCTTACAAATGTAATCGCCACTAGCCTTGCCATGTCCATTTGGTTGAATTGGCACAGCATGGTTAGCTGTCATTGAAATAACACCAGTAGGTAGGGTGTCTGGAATTTAAACTTATTCACTGAAAAATTATCACAATATTTGTTTTTGTTTAGAATACAAATTATCGTATTGGTTTTACAATGTCAGCATGTCTCCATTGCATTTTACTTTGTACAAATACTATATTACTGAATATATACTAAGCCAGAAACTGGTTTCGCACTCGATTTACACATGGAGGTTTTTTTCGTCTTTAAAATAAATTATTAACGTCAAATATACCACGAATATGACTGTCCATTTGTCATGGAACTCAGCAACTAACAGATCAGGGCAGCATTGTATTAGATGGGGCAGTTTCAAACAACAGAAAAAAGAGTTAACTTTCCATTCCAATCCACTTTTCTATCCGACCTATTAACGACTGCTGAAAGGTCTGCCTCTGGGAATCATCTACTGTTTGTGGAGTCCCCACATCCACACTAAGAGGGCCCTTGAGCTTGGCTTGTGTCAACACGTTAAATCTGCAAATTACGAAAAAAAAAACATAGAAACAATGCAGGATGGAAAACCATGTTTCAAATAAAACACGTAATTTCCAGAAGTAGTGCATTGTGGTTCTCAGAGACAGACTTTGCAGATGTGGGCATTGGTGACTGTGCTGAAGAGTCCTAATTATGACAAAATCGATCCACAGTTGCCTTATCATTGCATCTCTGCCGCTGTCACGTGTTCTCACATGTAATATATGGTGCTCTAAGACAAGACCGACCACAATTCCTCTTCTTCAGCAAGCACTGGCGGTGGGGGGGTTTTTCCCTGCCATATGCACAATTGCCGTGTGCCTTTGACGCATTTTCACGTCTTGTTTGAAACTTCTTTAACGAGAGTTTTACCCCCCAACCCTCTCTCCCACACTAAAAAAACCCTATGGAACGCGTCACACAGAAGCCATTCGAGTGTTTAGACAGATGTCGCCGTCGCCTGTGCTCGTACAGAAGCCGCGGTCCACCGCGCGGGTGGTAGAAGTGCGCATGCGCGATCAGCGACAGCCGTTGACGGCTCCACCCGGGGCCCAACTCCGCCCGCTTCGTCTCGCTCGGCCGCTTCGTCTCGCTCGGCCGCACCATCGCAGCCATGCACAGCCTGGCGACCGGCACCGTGAGTTCCGTACCGCCGCCGCCATCGTCGTCGCCGTCGTCGTTTTGAGTCGTAATTGCTCCGAGTATTGCCCTGTCCGCCGAGTTTGGCGTTCAGGGTTAGAAGGCCCTCGGCCGCGGTGGCGGCGACCAATGGGAGAGCTCGTTGCTAGGGCTCGGCGCCGACGCGGACCAATGAGCGTCGTGCTTACTGCCGTGGTGGTCGGTCGGTCGAGGGGGGTCCATAAATGAAACGCAATTGTGAACAACTTAGTTGATTAGAAGGCAGTTTATAAGAGCTGGCCCTCGTTTTTTTACACGTTTCGGACACAGGCTGTGTGACCTGGCGTATCAACGAGTCGACTGCGTGGATGTGGTTTAAAAAAAATGTTTATTCTGAGGCGCCCCGCCACGTGAACGTGGAGTTTCCACTCCTGGCTGAGCGCGTGGGGGGCCGTGTGGGTTTGAGGTTTTTGTCGCGCCGTCAAATCGACCGATGAGAGAGATTTCCTCGCCAAAGCAGCCCCTCTTGTGTCGAGCAGGGCACGTAAACAAGCCCTCCCGTGGCGTGGCGGGCATTTCCACCACGGGAGTTGTTGAAAAAGGGGCCGCGTTTGCGCGCATTTTGTTGTTGTTAGGAAAGCCACGTTAATAGACGAGATCGATAAACGTTCGCGTTCAACATCTAGGGGATCTTGTTTACCTTTCGGTCACAAACGCACGGGTGAAGGCGCCCTGCCTTCGTGTTTACGCCCGTGGTCGTCGTCATGGTTGGGCCCTCTCCATTTAACCATGCGACAACCGAAAGTATTGTACAAAAAAAACTAACGTTACATTTGGCGCCTTCTATGATCAAGATGTTTAAAATCGCTCAAAGAAGACGATTGGTCAAAACAAGTACAATGTAAACGCGAAAAGTCAATGCTTGCATTTATAGTGTGTTCGTAAGCGTTGTTCTTACATGCTTTGTATGCACTGTGCAGTACTGTACCGGTACTGTATATTCAACGTGCAGTAGCCAACGTGGTGAAGTATGGTAAAGCAGCCACAATGACGCCGCCCACGCGGGGGTAAAGCGTGCAGCTGTGGATTGCCAGAGCCGTAAATCAAATCAAATGGTCATATGGACCTTCACGGGGCGACATTACGAAAAGGGACGTCCAAACGCAAAGGCCACCTGAAGGTGGTGGTTGTGGTGGTGGTGGTAAAGAAAAAGGCACCACAACCCGCGTTCACAGTGGGGGTTAAAGCGATATGGGTCCGTTGTACAAGTCTTTAACACGCGCACAGATGTCATCCATTCTCACATCAACTTCAAAAATGTCAAGCGTGTCTTTTATAGAAATAACATTTACAAAATTATTGAGTTATGTTTGTAAATTACACAATGTTACGTCCGAGAAAATATAAAATACAAGTTTTTTGTTTTAAATCACGAGTATTGACGTGGCTGTCTTTGTGGACTGTAAAATTCCTTGAGAAACGTTGCACAATAAAACGTCTAACTTCAAATATGCCCCCATCATTTGATGAGGTTCAACTGGTATATTTGTAAATGTATCTACGGTCCCAGTCGCGTGGCTCCATACAGCACAAGTAGCAATTAGATTTTGAATTTGAGCTTCCTCCAAGTCATCTCAGCCTTTATTAGTACCCTGTGTGGTGTATTGAACGTGCTTAGCCCATCTTTAACAGTCGGCCTTCGTACATGATCCCTAGCAGCACCAGCAAACGACTTGTTGTAATCGATTACGTATTTATTATAACGCACTTAAGATTTAATCATAATTCACCACGCTGATCAGTGCAATTTGGTATACGTAGGGAGCATAGACGTTGGAGGGAATACAGTACAATTAATTTGCCTGCACTGCCCTCTGCTGCCCACTAGGTAATGTAGTCCGGCAGCTATCGGATGACCTGATTTGCGTGGTAGCTGCCCATCCAAGCTCTTTCGAGGCGTAAACCCAATTTGCTTTCTAGATCTACCAAGATTTGGTACGTTCCAGGTGATTCAATTATGTACAGTCGCCTCATCGCGATGTTTTTTCATTGTACATACACTAATGTACACGTTTCATATTACACGGAATGCAACTGCACTATCACAGGTTGACCGAGAGAAGATCTACACATGGATCAATGAATTGTCAAGTCCCGACACGCGGGAGAATGCACTGTTGGAACTCAGCAAGAAGCGCGAGTCTGTGCCAGATCTGGCGCCCATGCTGTGGCACTCGTTCGGAACCATCGCGGCCCTCCTCCAGGTAAAGCTCCTTGGTGTTAAGAGCTACATTGGCCAACCTTTAACTATGCATTACAGCTGATTAACCCATTGACCACCGTACGACTCACTGGGTTGTATTGCATTTGTCTGCTTTTCCCGGAGGGCCATGCAATCCACCAATGGCCATTGTTGCGTTCTTAACCTCGATGTGCATTTGGCCACTGAGGAAGGAATAAGGAAAAAGTTTGGCTGCCGTACCACTGAGGAGCAGTCCAGTTGTGGGGTAATTGGTGTGTTAAGGGGTGCCCCTTTTCACACAAGACTATTTTTTCAGCACTAAGTCCTCTGTGAATGAGATCTGGCTTTGTTACATACGTGTCAGAGAAATTTGTAAGCTATAAGTTTGATTGTAAAACCTAAGTACACGGCAAAGAAAAGCTCAAACGGCTAACATATATTTATTTTCAGGAAATTGTAAATATCTACCCATCAATCAACCCGGCGACGCTGACAGCACACCAATCCAACCGCGTGTGCAATGCACTGGCTTTGCTGCAGTGTGTGGCCTCGCACCCAGAGACAAGGCAAGTTTATTCTCGCTAATTATTGTGGACATCTTTATTTAAAAGTTCATGAGAATGATTTCATAAGGTATTAACTGTATATCTAGGTGAGAATTAATTCAGACAATATCTTTTGCAAGGAAGACCTGGTATTTAATCGTGTACAGAGCAGAAATCTCTGTTTTGGAAATGTAAATTAAATAAAGGAACAGAGTAAAAAAGAAAAAATGGGCCCATGTATAGAGATAAAGGTGCAGCCCTGCAATTTATTACTCACACCACTGCTGGCAGAAGGGCCTCCACTATAGAGAGCTCTAGAATGCTGGCTTTGGACTTGTAAGAGCGTGGTAGTACCCACACTTTACCCCACCAGACACGACCTACCAAACTGACAATGGGCTCGTATAGTAATACACATTGAGGTAATATATTACTTTGCCATTACATTTTTTTCAGGTCTGCCTTCCTATCTGCCCACATTCCTCTCTTCCTGTATCCATTTCTTCACACCGTGAGCAAGACTCGTCCATTTGAGTACCTTCGTCTTACCAGCCTAGGAGTCATTGGTGAGTTGGATTGGTATTAAAAAACTTAACACGCAAAATGTGTTTCAGTTGACTTAAAAAAATACAGTTTTGACGATTGTTATAAACAAAATGCATTTGTGGTGATAGGTGCCTTGGTGAAGCCTGATGAACAGGAAGTCATCAATTTCCTGCTGACCACTGAGATCATCCCTCTGTGCCTGAGAATCATGGAGTCTGGGAGTGAGCTATCAAAAACGGTGCGCTTTGGTCCTTATATTATAATTTGTTAATGGGATGCACAACTTTAGTGTTTAAACAATAATTTTTTTGGCTAAGCTCAATCAGGTATGTGATGCTTTGGGTTCTAGACACATGTTGGCAAATGTTCCTTTTTGTCTCATCTTTGAAATAGTTCTGACATATCCACCAACAATAATGCAAGTTGCCTAAATGATGTGTTTTATGTATTTAATTGTAATGTAATTGACACATTGTTTTGTTTGCATGAATGCAGGTGGCTACATTCATATTACAGAAGATTCTTTTGGATGATACAGGCCTTGCTTACATTTGTCAAACCTATGAGAGATTCTCCCATGTTGCCATGATTCTTGTAAGTAAATTGCCTCTGCAAATACATTGAATTCAGAATTTAAAAGAGCATTGACTATATATTTGTCCGCTTGAACATGACCTTGATGTGACCCAAAATGTGTTTTTTGTGGGTGTGTTTTCAGGGCAAGATGGTGCTTGCCCTGTCCAAGGAACCATCCGCTCGTCTCCTCAAGCACGTTGTTCGCTGCTACCTCCGTCTTTCTGACAATC